GCGCCTGGCTTCAAAAAAAATTTATTTGATGGAATGAAACCACTGTGAGTCCCCTGTGGTTCTAAGATACAGAGTCTTGCTTTGTCCACCAGGCTGGAGTTTAATGGCATGATCTCGGCTCACTGCAACCTCTGCCTCCTGGGTTCAAGCAATTCTTCTGCCTCAACCTCCCAAGAACTGGGCACGAAACTCTATGCTCAGATAATTTTTGTATTTTTAGTAGAGATGGGGTTTCACCATATTGGCCAGGCTGGTCTTGAACTCCTAACCTTTTGATCCATCCGCCTCGGCCACCAAAAGTGTTGGGATTACAGGCGTGAGCCACTGAGTCCAGCCGATACAGCACCTTTTAATACAGATGCTTGTTCTGTGCACCCTGGTCTCTGGTTCAATAACAACTCGTCACTTAAGCCCTGAGGTCTGAGAAAAGGTGACAGTGTGAGCATCTCTAATAGAGGAGGAGCAGAAAGAAATCAGAAAGCTGAACAGGATCAACCCAGGCTCTAACCTTTCCAGAGCTTTCCCCCCAGCTGTGCCCTGCCCCCCTCCTCCCTGGGGTGCCTCCTGGTGTCCCCTCACCCTCGGTTGACGGGGTGCTGTGTCGCTGCAGTCCATTCTCCACAGAAACTGAGTTTCTATCTCACCGAGTGACCTCCATGTGCTCATGTAGCACCAAAGGCCTTTTATATCACAATCATGGCTTTGATGATCAATTTAGTAGCATTTCCACATGAACAGTTGGAAAGACTAACAAAAACTTAAGTAATATTTCTTCTGATTATAAAAATAATCTTAGGCCAGACGCAGTGGCTCACACCTATAATCCTAGCACTTTGGGGATCTGAGGCTGGCAGATTACTTCAGGCCAGAAGTTCAAGACCGGCCTGACCAACATGGTGAAATTTAATCTCTATTAAAATTACAAAAATTAACTGGGGGTGGTGGCACATGCCTGTAATCTCAGCTACTTGGAAGGTTGAGGCAGGAGAATCACTTGAGCCTGGGAGGAAGTAATTGCAGTGAGCTGAGATCTCACCACTGCACTCCCGCGTGGGTGACAGTGAGTGAGACTGTTTTTTTTTTTTTTCTTTTTTGAGATAGAGTCTCGCTCTGTAGCCCAGGCTGGA